GGTGGTTTTGAACCTGCCAGCTCTGGTGTAGTGGCTGGCACCCTAGCCGCTGAGCTACAGGTGCCGAACCCCCAGTTACTCTTTTATGTCCTCCTTCTAGTCCCAAGTACTATCATCTAACAGTCTTTAAACACTTTTCTCACCTGCATTGTTTCCTAAAATATCACAATCTCTTTAGCCTTTCCCTGAATACTGTATGTCTGACTATATAACCAGGATTTCCTTCTCTACCTCTCTGTTCCCTCAGATCCCTCTTCAGGGATTTTTCAGGCAGATACTCAATATGGAGGGGGTAGTATAAGTAGACTTCTCCTTTCTCACCAGAATTTTTCCAGCCCAAGCATCTACATGAATCCTGGGCTATATGCACTCAACAGGCATGTCCTTTCTCTGCCCAGGTCTATTCAGGGGAGACTGGGCCTCCTGGGCAAGATTTGAGTGACCCAAATTGAATTGACTAGATTTGCATGACGGTGGCATTAGCCCTCTCCCCTAGAATGGGTCATAGCCAAAGAATCCTCGAGTCTCTGTCTGCACCTCCTTCTATGCCCCTCACCTTGGCCACCAGTTGCTCCCGGTCCTCTTCTTTCCCCACTTGGCACACAGTACCCATCACACTCAGCCCCTCCCTCTGGAGCATGGCCACAGCCTGGTCCACGTTCTGCTGCTTCCGGCTACTGACCACCACATGGGCCCCATCCTGGGCCAGGCGCCGAGCAATGGCAAAGCCAATCCTTGGAACAGAAGTGTAGAAGATGTGACAATTCAGCCTTAGACTAAGCCCTTTCTTGCCGCATTTCTCATCCTGAGGCACCAAATGAATTCTCTCCACTAACCCAGAACAGTTAACCTCATGCCCTACTTATGGCAGAAGTAAAGGGAATCCCTCAGTTTGCAGGTGTATATTTATTGAATCTCCTACGTCCACACTAGATCTTTTTGGCCTTACCTTCTACTAGATCTACTACTGTGACAAACTGTTCTTGGGTCATTGAGGATTTGGTTTGCTTTGCAACCTTAATGTTCCCTGTCCTGGCCTGTGAAACCACTGAATGCTCACAGGCATGCAACTTGGAAGTATGGGGCATTGACCTATATAGAGAGAGCAACTCTGGACCGGTTGAGGAGGGTGAAATGGAAGAATTCTCTCTGTTTTCTTCTGAAGGATGCCTCTGAGATACATTTCAGGTTTTCTAGAGGAGTTGCGGAACTCATCACCCAGTGGCCTATAGTGGGACCAACATTATAGGACAACCTGCACCAGTTTTGTTTCCTTTCCTAATTTCCTTTCCTGCTCCTTATTGTTTTTCCTTAGGATCACATTCTCAAAAAACTACTAGCACTTGAGCTTAGTAGACTTTACTTTGTGGGGATGAACTCAGTTTACAAATTCCCAAAGAGTTGTTCTTACCCATTAGTGGATCCTGTGATCACAGCAACTTTGTTGGCTAGTTTGAGCCTATCCTTGGTGCCACTGCTGGCACTTCTCATGGAGAATGAAACCACAGGGAACAGGAGGTTCCTCCAATTCCTGGTCAAGAACCTCAACATTGTGGTTTCTGTTTGATCTTCCTCTTGGTGAGCTCGTTCCAGGGAGGAAGGCCTCTAGAAAGACAGTTACAATTCCAACAAGCAGTTCTTGCAAGCAGGGAGATGATCATTTCCTTTGTTGAATTAGAATTGAGCTGATATGAGAATCTCTCTTGGAGCTCAGCCTAGACACTGCTTTTCTAGTTCTTCTCATGGTTTTAGAAACATAGAATTTTCTATATTAAATCTCTTCTTTTTAACCTAACTAAAGTGGTTTTTATTATCTGGAATTCAACTCCTGACATGTATACATATAGTTTCAATAAATATTTATTTTTTGAGAATGCCTAGAATAATGTACCTATACTTCACAGGTTTGTTCTGAGAGGACCACATAAGTTAAGATATAGACAGAACAAATAAAGAAAACCACAGACCAATAGCTCTTATAAACATAGATGCAAAAATCCTCAACAAAATGCTAGCAAACCAAATTCAATTGCACAATAGCACATGGAAAATCTAATTCACCACGACCAACTGGGCTTCATCTCAGGGATGTAATGATGGTTCAGTATGCAAATCAATAATATGATTCACCACATAAGAAGAAGTTAAAAAAAAAAAGACCACATGATCATCTTAATAGATGCAGAAAAAGCATTTGATAAAATCCAGCATACTTTCATGATTAAAAGCTTTCAAGAAACTAGGCAGGAATATACCTCAAAATTATAAAAGCTAAATACGAGAAACCCATTGTCAACATGCTGAATGGGGACGAGTTGAAATCATTTCCCCTGAGAATGGAACAAGACAGGGGTGCCCACCATTACCACTTCCTTTTTTAAATTTTAAGTCATTATTTTATTGAACTCTTCCATGTGAACACATTGAGATGAAACTTGGTAGACTTGCATTCCCAGAAGCTCCTCGGGTACCACTTCTATTGAATATAGTACTAGAAGTCCTGGCTAGATCAATCAAGCAAGAGAAAGAAATAAAGGGCATCCAAATTAGGAAAGAGGAGGTCTAACTATTCCTGTTTGCTGAAGATATATCTTGTATTTAGAAAATCTTGAAGACTTCACCAAAAGACTCCTAGAATTAATAAATAAATTCAGCAAAGTCTCAGATTATAAAATCAATGCACACAAATTAGTAGCATTTCTACATACTAGGAACATTCAAGCTGAAAGTCAGATCAAGGATTCAATACCATTTACAACAGCTACAAAGAAAATACAATACTTACCCAAGGAGGTAAAAAAATCTCTACAAAGAGAACTACAAAACACTGATAAAGAAATTGTAGATGACACAAACAAATGGAAAAACATCTTAAGCTCATGTATCAGTAGAATAAACATTGTTAAAATGTCCATACTGATAGATTTAATGGAATTCTCATCAAAATACCAATGTCACCATTCACAGATATAGAAAAAAAATAATCCTAAACTTCATGTGGAACCAAAAAGAACCTGACAAAATTACCTCATTTCAAATTATACTACAAGGCCATGGTAACTAAAACAGTATGGTAGTGGTATAAAGGTAGAGACATAAACAATTGGAAGAAAATAGAGCTACCACCAAACTGATCTTCAACAAAGGAGACAACAACATACACACAACAACATATTTAGTAAATGGTGCCGAGAAGATTGGATAGCCATATGCAGAAGAAATAAACAGTTCTCCTATTTGTCAATATGTACAAAAATTAATTCAAGATGGATTTAAGACTTAAATGTAAACCATAAAATCACAAAAAATCTAGGAGAAAACATAGAAAAAAGTCTTTTAGACATAGGCCTAAGCAAAGCATTTATAACTAAGACCCCAAAGGCAAATACAGAAACAACAAAAATAAATAAGACTTGAATAAATAAAAAAACCTTCTGTACAGCAAATGGAATATTCAACAGAATAAACAGGTAGCCTATAGAATGGGAGAAAATATTTGCAAACTATACATCAGACAAAGGACTAAAATTCAGAATCTATAAAGAACTCAAACAAATCAGCACAAAAAAAAAACCAACTCCATCAAAAAGTGGTCAAAAGACACAAACAGACATTTTTCAAAAGAAGACAGACAAATGGCCAACAAACATATGAAAGTATGTTCAACATTGATAACTATCAGAGGAGTACAAACTAAAACCACAATGAGATGCCACCTTACCCTGTCAGAATAGTCACTTAATTAAAAAGTCACAAAATAGGGGCAGTGCCTGTGGCTCAGCAGGTAGGGTGCCAACCCCAAATACCAAGGGTTTCGGGTTTAAACCTGGCCCTGGCCAACTAAAACTGCAGTGGCAACTGCAACAAAAAATAGCCAGGCCTTGTGGCAGGTGCCTGTAGTCCCAGCTACTTGGGAGGCTGAGGCAACAGAATTGCTTAAGTCTAAGAGTTGGAGGTTGCCTTGAACTGTGATGTCATAGCACTCTATTGAGGGTGACAGAATGAGACTGTGTTAAAAAAAAAATTAAAATTAAAAAAGTCACAAAATGCTGACATGAGGACAATTGATGACCTAGCACACTGTGGGAGGTGAGGAAGGGGGTGCAGGGAGAGGGAAGAGGGAGGCAGGTGGGGGGGTCATGGGGTGTGACACACCTCTTGGTGATGAGACACAATTATAAGAGGGATTTTACCTAACAAATGCGATCAGTGTGATCTTTGTGTCCTCAATGAATCCCCCATAATAAAAAAGAAGAAGGAAGAGGAGGAGGAGGAAGAAGAAGAAGAAGAAAAGAAGAAATAAGGCTGAGAAGAAGTCCTGGAGCAATCATACTTAGTAATTTGAAAGAAAATAAGTACCACTAATTCATGCTCAGGAAATGAAAAAGTGTAGGAACTCTCACAAAATAACATGCTGACATTGATGCAGAAAAAAAGGAATGTTTATACACTGATGTGTGACTGCAAACTAGTACTACCACCACGAAAAATGGCAGGGAGATTACTCAAAGAGCTAAAAATAGATCTACCATTTGAGTCAGTCCTACTACTGGGTATCTATCCAAGGAAAATAAGTCATTTTTTCAAAAAGACACCTGCCCTCAAATATTTAATTGCAGCCCAAATCACAATTGCAAAGATACAGAATCAACCCAAAATGCCCATCAGTTCATGAGTGGATAAAGAAAATGTCACACACACACAGACCAGAGAGTATTACTCGGACATAAAAAGGAGTGAAATAATGTCTTTTGCAACAACATGAATGGAAGTGAAGACCATTATCCTAAGTGAAGTATCTCAGAAATGAAAACAAATACCACATGTTCTTGTAAATAAATGGGAGCTAAACGATGGATATACATGGGCACAAAGAGACACAAAAGATGTTGGAAACTAAGAAGAGGGAGGACGGGAGAAGGCGAGGGACAGAAACTTACCCGTCAGGGACAATGAACACTGTCTTGACTGAACACATTGATGGCCCTGACAGCATTATACAGTGTATCCATGTAACAAAGCCTTTGTGCAACCTTGAAATTTTGAAATTTTTAAAAAAGGTGGGAAAGAATTTTGCGTACTGTAAATAAAAGTCATTCTACAGCTGCTTAAGGTGGTGCATTTTACATTTTATCCCCCATGGGTATCTCACTTCAGCCTTGAGATACACATAGCCCCCTGCTTCTGGTGCTCTGCTCTGGCTGCTTTTCATACCATGGCCTCTTCTTCCAGACCTATCTTTTGTTTTCACCACATGCAGTCCTTTCGGAGTCCCCAGAGCTGATTTGTCGTCTCCATGTGACCAAGTAGCTTTCGTGTTTATGTCTTTTCTAACATAAATATCCCTAACCCTTCATGACCATGCTCCATTTGTCACTTCTAGCAGGGTGCCCAGCACCTAGTAATTGTTGCATGAATGGGTAAGTGAATAAATGAAGCATTAACTAGAGTGATAACAGTAGTTTCTTAGGAGCCTCATTGGACTCCCGGGTCAAATCCCTTGGTCACTGCATGTCAGACTCCTCTCCTGGGCTGTCAGGTGTGTCACTTCAGCTCTGGTCTCAAAGCATTTACTATAAAGTAGACATTCTTGATTTTTAGGTTCCCAAGCTTTGGGTGGCATCAGGCTTTGTGTACACTGTAAATTTCCGTTCTTGATATTTAGGATATTGACTCTCTGTTCAAATCTCCACAAATTTATAGCTCTGAACTTATTTACATGAAGCCAACTCTCTTATTTAAGAACCACCACCTTCATGAATCTTAGGCAAATATCAAAGCAGATAAATGCTTTTGAAGCAAACATTGAAGACAAATTCATAATCTTCTTGCACAGAAATTTAGCTCCTACAATCCTTATTTGTTCATTATGGTTTTTACTTCCCTTGTAGCCAAGGATTCAAAATGGAATATCAGGTTTTCTTCTCCACCTACTTAACTTTTTGTCATTGTCACTCCAGGCAGTTTATTCTTAAATCTCTGGAGCTTCATGCCCAACCACAGGATTATTCTGTCTCCATGTCCCAAACCATTCTCAGTCTTTTTGATAAAGAAAAGTCTGTTTGGGAGAAGCAAAAGCTCAGCATCTCTCTTTTTCTCCCCTCCCCCCATGTCACCCCTCGTCTCCTTTTCTGCTACAATCATATATATGTTTTCATTTGGGGAAAAAAAAATACAGAACCTATGAATACAGTAGTTTCTTCATTCATTCAGTGAACATTTACTGGGACCCTCCTATGAGCTAGGCATTCAGAATACAAAGAAGACTCTCATAATTTTGGTACTCAAGGCATTCACAGTCTGAGCTGGACTTGCAGAAAAATAAACCATTATAATGCATCATGGTTGAAGAAACATCATTAACACAGTTTTATAAGTGCTCAGGGAACCGAAGGGCACCTAACTTCATCTTGGAGTGGGGGTGGTTATGTAAAATATCCTAGGGAAAGTAATGCTTCAGTTGACTCAGGAAAAGAAGCTTCCAATATTATGGGTTTTTTGGAAGGACACACACTTTTAAAAAATGGATATGTGTTCATGATAAAATATTT